GTTGACTCGATTCAAGCTAGACCATGGTACCTTTAATTAATATTCATTTCTGATAGATTCGAATCTCCAGAGTAATATTTGTCCCTATCCCAGACACTTTTTATCATGTGGATAATGAGTGGAAAGTTATAGAAGCCTAAGAGTAGCCATTATAAGCTCATATCTAGGTCGAACCCATATTATAGTAATGTTGAATCCAACATCTACTGGGTAATGAAGGTAAAAATAAGTTCACTTGAGATTCGGTGTACACTAAGGATATTTGAAAAAAATAGTTAGAGTTGAAAAGCCTACTCTACTGGCCAATTTATGTCGGTATTGTTGATTAAATAGAATAAGATGTAGTTAAATAAATCCACACCAACAACTTGCAAAAGTGCAGAAGCTGAAAAACTCTACTTAACTTCCATAAACGACGTGGGCACAATAAGAACAAATATGTTTGAATAACAATAGTTTTAGGTGTATAAATAATTTAGATTGCAAGCAATATCTAGGACGATATTATGTCTTGGAGTAATAGTCTATGGAGGATTAACCCTGGATTTATAATTGATTATCATTTAATAGGCAAAAAAATGACATACACATTTGTCTATATACATTAAATAAAGAAAAAATTCACTCTTCTTAAGAGAATAGAACGTTTGGAAGATAATAAGAAAGTATAAATTTTTACTTCAACAGTCTGTATATAGGCGTATACGACTCCAAGGAGGCGATGCATGGCGAGCCCTGCAGCTGCCCGGCTGCATCGCCTAGCTGTGCCAGCAGCTTGCGCCCCAATCACTAAAGAGGCAAGCAGCTGGCCGGTTTCTGCCAGCACGAGCGGTACCCGGTTTCCGGTCAGACTGAGTTCGGTAGAAACAGAAGATCCTACGCTTCCAATAAGGTTAGTAGAAACAGAAGAATCACCTGAAGCGTCTAAACCAAGTGGAGGAGGACGACCTAGTTGCCAATTGGCCTGGAAGAAAAGAAATGATAAGGCCAAATAGAATAAAGCTTGTCTAGTATCAGAGGCAATTGAACACATTCTAGTTCAATATCAAACACAATGAACATAATTTGTAAAAAATTAGTCCTCTACCTACCTAGATTAATATACGAATAAAATACGGGTTTCGAAGAATCTCCCGAGATAAGATTGATATCAAGACTTTCATTTCGTATGGAAGTACACGATGAAGATAGTCGTAGGTCAATCTCACCAGAAGACGTCGGCTGAGTCGCGTTGTACTGCAGCTGTTTGGGATTTATGCGACGTTCAAGTTAATGCAACCCACGAGAAATCCTCCAACTTTTCGGGCGAAGACGTCTAAGCCTTCGTTCGTCATGTGATGAACATCGCCAAAGCTGGGGCTCATTCTTCCAAAGCTTCAAGCTAACCCTAAGTGAAGAAGACTCAGTTGACAAGTTGAGTCGTATTCTTTTTGACGGCGACTCAGCACCCACTCTCTTCTTCACTATTTCAATCATGCATAAATAATTCTTACCCAAATTTTTACCATCATTCCCCTAATTAAAAGTATTCCTTAATATACTAATTTAAGTAGCCTCTTATCTTGAGTTTCGTAGGGGACATAACCTAATCAGCAAACCTCTGCTTCCGAGACCATTCTATATCATGCCCAGTTTCACCAATGTGTTCAGCCATTTCTGACTGCTCGACCCAGCTGCCTTTACAAGCATTTTTCTGCTCCGCTCGAGTATACGTGAACTGGCCAAACCTTTAAATATCACTTTATATCTTAAATTTTGCACGCAATGAGTATAAGTATCATATAGAAAAAGTCGGCCTATCTTCTTGAGTTAGTATTAACTTAATGCTTTTATAAAAATGAGTCCAAGCTCTGACGATGTTCGTCACATGACGAATGAAAGCTCAGCCCGTCTTCGCCCGAAACATTGTAGGTCGTCTCATGGACAGCCTCAACCTGAACGTCGTGTTAATGCCAGACGGCCGAAGTACAACACGAATCAGCCGACGTCTTCTGGTAAGATTGGGCTACGAATCTCTTCATAATGTACTTCCATACGAAATGAAGGTCTTGATATCAAGCTAGATTATTGCAACTAAATAAATGACGACCAATCACTAGTAACTGCTGCAACAAGTAAAGCAAGTCGTGGGAAAATAATCAATACTGAAACACAGCACAATGAAGATGCACTAAGAATTTCGAAGC